GTGTTTTTTCTGGGGGGAGGGGTGGGAAATGTTGGGGAACCGAAAAAAAAAAATCGTTTGGGACACTCGGACCCCTCCCGAAACCCCAAAAATCCCAAATTTTGGGATCCTCAAAATCCTAAAAGGGACCCTCCCAACCTTTCTGGAAATCACCAAAATCCAGGAGGGACAAAATTTGGGGATGCCCTGAACTTTTGGGACCTCCAAAACCCAAAGGGGACAAAATTTGGGGACCCCAGACCCCTCCTAAAACCCCTCCAAAAATCCCAAAAACCAAAAAAGGACAAAATTTGGGATCCCCAACCCCTCCCCAAACCCCACAGGGACAAAATTTAGGACCCTCAACCCCCCCAAAATCCCCCAAACCCAAAAGGGACTAAGTTTGGGACCCTCCCCGAATTCCTGGACGCCCCAAACCCAAAGGGGACAAAAATTTGGGGACCCCCTGAATCCCTGAACACCCCCAAACCCCAATATTGACCCCATTTTGGGACCTCCGACCCCTCCCCAACCCCCAAAACCCAAAAGGGACAAAATTTGGGACCCTCCCCGAATTCCTGGACCCCCCAAAACCCAAAAAGGACAAATTTGGGGACCCCCGACCCCTCCCAAAATCCCAAAAACCCAAAAGAGACAAAATTTAGGACCCCCAACCGCTCCCCATCCCCTCCAAAACCCAAAAGGGACAAAATTTGGGGACCCCTCCCCGAATTCCTGAACATCCCCAAAACCCAAAAGGGACAAAATTTGGGACCCTCCCCAAATTCCTGACCCCCCCAAAACCCAAATGAGACAAAATTTGGGGATCCCCGACCCCTCCCAAAATCCCAAAAACCCAAAAGGGACAAAATGTGGGAACCCCGACCCCTCCTTAACCCCTCCCAAAATCCCAAAAACCCAAAAGGGACAAAATTTGGGATCCCCAACCCCTCCCAAAATCCCCCAAACCCAATGGGGACAAAACTTGGGACCCCTCCCGAATTCCTGGACCCCCCAAAACCCAAATGAGACAAAATTTTGGGGACCCCCAACCCCTCCAAAACCTCGCAGGGACAAAATTTAGGACCCCCAACACAAAAGGGACTAAATTTGGGACCCCCAACCCCTCCCAAAATCCCCAAAACCCAAAATGGACAAAATTCAGGACCCCCAGAATTCCTGGACCCCCCAAAACCCAAAAGGGACAAAATTTTGGGACCCCCGACCCCTCCCCAACCCCAAAAGGGGACAAAAATTTGGGATCCCCTCAATTCCTGGATCCCCCAAACCCCAAAAGGGACAAAATTTAGGACTCCCAACCCCTCCCAAACCCAAAAAGGACAAAATTTTGGGACCCCAAAACCCCAAAACGACGCCACCATGAGAAGCAGAGTCCAAAACCCTTTAATTCCCCGAAAGCCCCCAAACCCCACCCTGGGACTCCCCACAGCTTTTGTGGGGGTTCCGGGGTTTTTGGGTGTTTTTGGGGTGTTTTTGGGTGTTTTTGGGGTGTTTTTGGGGTGTTTTTGGGGTGTTTTTGGGGTGTTTTTTGGGGTTTCAGGCGTGCAGAGCCCTCCAGCGCTCCAGGGGTCCCCGGGACGGGACGTATTTGACGCCGCAGCCGTCGGGGATCAAACGTTTCTGAGCCACCATCTCCTCGAAAGCGTCGGCGTTGAACTTGGTGAAGCCCCATTTCTTGGAGATGTGGATCTGGGGAACCCCAAAAATCCATCAGGAAATCCCAAAAATCATCGGGGGACCCCAAAAAACACCCAGAAAAAAATTGGGGTCCCCAAAACCTCCCCACACCGTTTATTTTAATGGTTTTTGGGCCAAAGAACTCAACATTTGGTGTCTTTAAACCCCTCCCCAATTTGGTGAAGCCCCATTTCTTGGAGATGTGGATCTGGGGAACCCCAAAAATCGGTCAGGAAATCCCAAAAATCATCAGGGGACCCCAAAAACCCCACAGGAAAAAAATTTGGGGTCCCTAAAACCTTCCCACACCGTTTATTTTAATGGTTTTTGGGCTAAAGAACTCAAAATTTGGTGTCTTTAAACCCCCTCCCCAATTTGGTGAACCCCAATTTCTTGGAGATGTGGATCTGGGGAACCCCAAAAATCGGTCAGGAAATCCCAAAAATCATCAGGGGACCCCAAAAACCGCACAGGAAAAAAATGGGGTCCTCAAAACCTTCCCATCCCGTTTATTTAAACGTTTTATGGGCCCAAATAACTCAAAATTTGGTGTCTTTAAACCCCTCCTCAATTTGGTGAACCCCAATTTCTTGGAGATGTGGATCTGGGGAACCCCAAAAATCATCAGGGGACCCCAAAAAATACCCAGAAAAAAATTCAGGGTACCCAAAACCTCCCCAACCCCATTTATTTTAATGTTTTTAGGCCCAAAAATCCCTCCCCGCTCTATCAAATTTCTTCTAAACCCCTCAAATTTGGTGAACCCCCATTTCTTGGAGATGTGGATCTGGGGAACCCCAAAAATCATCAGGGGACCCCAAAAACCCCGCAGGAAAAAAAATCGGGGTCCCTAAACCCCCTTCAAAAGATCTAAAAATCCCAATTTTCCCTCCCCCAACCGCACAGATTTTGACCCACCCCAGCCCCCAATTTCCCCAAATTTTCCCCCAAATTTTTGAGGTGTCCTGGGATAATTTTGGGGTATCCCGGGATAGTTTTGGGATGTCCCCGGATAATTTTGGGGTATCCCAGGATAAATTTGGGGTATCCCGGGATAATTTTGGGGTATCCCAGAATGAATTTTGGGGTGTCCCGGGATAATTTTGGGGCATCCCAGGATAATTTTGGGGTGTCCCAGGATCTTTTGGGGTATCCCGGGATAGTTTTGGGATGTCCCGGGATATTTTGGGGTATCCCAGGATATTTTGGGGTACCCCAGGATAATTTTGGGGTATCCCGGGATAATTTTGGGGTATCCCAGAATGATTTTTGGGGTATCCCGGGATAATTCTGGGGTATCCCAGGATAATTTTGGGGTATCCCGGGATAATTTCGGGGTGTCTGGTACCTTCTGTCTCCCCGGGAATTTGAACTTGGCCCTGCGCAGCGCCTCCACCACGTGCTCCTTGTTCTGGGCTTTGGTGCGGATGGACATGATCACCTGCCCGATGTGCACCCGGGCCACCGTGCCCTGCGGCTTCCCAAAGGCGCCCCGCATTCCTGTCTGCAGCCTGAGAGACCCCAGACCCAATTCAGAGACCCCAGACCCAATTCAGAGACCCCAGACCCAATTCAGAGACCCCAGACCCATTTTAAAGGGGGTTTGTAGCCTCAGTTCTACTCCGTGTCATGTTAAAAATGAGTGGGAGCCCAAACAAAACAGCCCCAAAATCCCCTCCAAAATCCCCTCCCGCATTCCTGTCTGCAGCCTGAGAGACCCCAGACCCAATTCAGAGAGAGTTTGGAGACCCCAGACCCATTTTAAAAAGGATCTGGAACCTCCATCCCATTGCATGTGCTGTTGAAAAGGGGGAATGGGAGCCCAAAACAGCCCCAAAACCCGGACTGGAATCTGGGCAAACTGGAACTGGGGAGGGGTCAGCAAGGAGAACCATCCCTAAAGACCCCAGACCCAATTCAGAGACCCCAGACCCAATTCAGAAAGGATTTGGTACCTTAGTTCTAACAGTAGTGCTGTTAAAAATGGGGAGTGGGAGCCCAAAATCCCCCCCAAAATCGTCCCCAAAATCCTCCCTGATCCCGGTCTGGAGCCTGAAAAGGGGTTGGGAGTGGCAGTGGGAGACCCCAGACCCATTTTAGAGGGGATTTGTAGCCTCCATCCCATTGCATGTGCTGTTAAAAATGGGGAGTGGGAGCCCAAAACAGCCCCAAAACCCGGACTGGAATCCGGGCAAACTGGAATTGGGGAGGGGTCAGCAAGGAGAACCATTCCTAAAGACCCCAGACCCATTTCAGAGACCCCAGACCCATTTCAGAGACCCCAGACCCATTTCAGAGGGGGTTTGTAGCCTCAATTCTGTTTTACACCCTGCCCGATGTGCACCCGGGCCACCGTGCCCTGCGGCTTCCCAAAGGCTCCCCGCATTCCTGTCTGCAGCCTGAGAGACCCCAGACCCATTTCAGAGACCCCAGACCCAACTCAGAGACCCCAGACCCGTTTTAAAGAGGGTTTGGAACCTCCATCCCATTGTATGTGCTGGTAAAAACGGGGAGTGAGGGCCCAAAACAGCCCCAAAATCCTCTCCAAATCCTCCCTGATCCCAGTCTGGAGCCTGAAAAGGGTTTGGGAGTGGCAGTGGGAGACCCCAGACCCATTTCAGAGGGGTTTGGAGCCCCCAGACCCATTTCAAAGGGGGTTTGTAGCCTCAATTCTGCTCTGTGTCTTGGTACAAATGAGTGGGAGCCCAAAACAGTCCCAAAACCCGGACTGGAATCTGGGCAAACTGGAACTGGGGAGGGGTCAGCAAGGGGAACCATCCCTAAAGACCCCAGACCCAATTCAGAGACCCCAGACCCAATTCAGAGACCCCAGACCCATTTCAGAGGGGGTTTGTAGCCTCAGTTCTGTTTTACACCCTGCCCGATGTGCACCCGGGCCATGGTGCCCTGCGGCTTCCCAAAGGCTCCCCGCATTCCTGTCTGCAGCCTGAGAGACCCCAGACCCATTTGAGAGGGGGTTAGAGACCCCAGACCCATTTTAAAGAGGATTTGGTATCTTAGTTCTAACTGGATTGCTGTTAAAAATGGGGAATGAGAGCCCAAAATCCCCTCCAAAATCCCCTCCCGCATGCCTGTCTGCAGCCTGAGAGACCCCAGACCCATTTGAGAGGAGTTTGGAGACCCCAGACCCATTTTAAAGGGAGTTTGGAACCTCCATCCTGTTGTATGTGCTGCTGAAAAGGGGGAGTGGGAGCCCAAAACAGCCCCAAAATCCCCTCCAAAATCCTCCCTGATCCCAGTCTGGAGACTGAAAAGGGGTTGGGAGTGGCAGGGGGAGACCCCAGACCCATTTCAGAGGGGTTTGGAGACCCCAGACCCATTTTAAAGGGGTTTGTAGCCTCAATTCCATTGCGTGTACTGTTAAAGATGTGGAGTGGGAGCCCAAAACAGCCCCAAAACCCGGACTGGAATCTGGGCAAACTGGAATTGGGGAGGGGTCAGCAAGGAGAACCATTCCTAAAGACCCCAGACCCATTTCAGAGACCCCAGACCCATTTATAGAGGGTTTGTAGCCTCAGTTCTGTTTTACACCCTGCCCGATGTGCACCCGGGCAACGGTCCCCTGCGGCTTCCCAAAGGCTCCCCGCATGCCGGTCTGCAGCCTGAGAGACCCCAGACCCAATTCAGAGACCCCAGACCCATTTCAGATGAGTTTGGAGACCCCAGACCCATTTTAAAGAGGGTTTGGAACCTCGGTCCTATTGTGTGTCCCATTAAAAATGAGTGAGAGCCACGGTGCCCTGCGGCTTCCCAAAGGCTCCTCGCATTCCTGTCTGCAGCT